GACCAGTCCACCCGTTCCGCTACCAGTAGCGATGCCAGGAGCTACTAGTAGCGTCCTTGCCCCTAGTAGGGATGCCAGGAGCTACTAGTAGCTCCTTGCCGCTAGTCGCGATGCCCTTTGTTACCAGCAGCGCAGTCGCCAGGCGCCGCCGCCCTGGCCCTGGGAAAGCTGGGCGCGGTGAGCAGCGCTGCTGAGGTGGCCGAACTCTTGGGCGACAACGCGGAGGAGGGGCCGCCACAAAGCAGGGACGTCGGGAGGTAGGTAGGCAGGTAGGCAGGGAAGTAGGTAGGTAGGTAGGTAGGTTGGTTGGTTGGTTGGTTGCTTTTTGGTTGAAACACTTGGTGAGGTGATTTTGTGTGATGGACTTTGGATGAGTTCTGGTGCCTGGATGCCGTGTTCCTTTGCTGATAGACGTCTAGATTTGGCGGATGCCTCGGTCGGAACAAGACAGTCTACACATTTCAATGCATTTCATCATTTTTTGACATTTCATGCACGATGCATTCAAACATTGAAGGTGTATGCACCTACAAGTCTCTTACAGCTTACATTTCAATTTTCACCAGTGGGTCCCTTGTAGGTGTAGGATCTCTGGTGCCGCCGGCTGAGTGGCGCCAGACGACCACCAAGACGATATGACCCTATGGCGTCCATACCGCGACTCGGACATCCTGAAACATTGAGTGGCAGGTGTGAATCCCTCACATGACCCAAACCCAACTGGCCCAGTCTGTCATCTAAAAGAGCAGCATGTCTTTTCGTCATATCCAGCAATTCATCGCCCAACTCCAGCATGGGATTGCCAAAGGAAGGAAGCTATTGAGTAAGAAATGGTCCCGAACCCAAGATCAATGGTCCGGAACCCCACACGGTCCGCCCCAAGAGCCCCCAGATCCGGTGGGGTCGCAGGACGCCTCGGAAAGCCATCTCACCGTGGGCGGTGGCGCGCTGCGCTCCGCCGCGGCGCTACGGCGGCCGAAGTGCGCCGCTTTGGCGAGCCTGGGCTTGATGAAGTCGGAGAAGCATTTGCCACTGCTCTCAGGCGTGGGATGGGAAGGTGGGGCGTAGGTGAAGGTGGTCGAGGTGGTCGAGGAGATTTTCAGATTGGGGCATCAGCTACAGGTTTACCTCTCACGTTGTGAGGCGCGAATCGGCCATCTCCAGGTTCGTGTGGAATTTGGTGTGCGCAATGCGTCGTTAGAGGTTTGGCGTTGTTGCGAAGTTTGGTTGGGTGGGGCGTCAAAACTAATCATGATAAGCGCTATGGCCGGAAGAGGAAGGAGTCCCTTTCCCTCTTTCCGAGCACAGAGGGCCGGGCCAGGGGAGATGACCGCCTCATATCTGAGAGCTCCAAAAAGGTGCTTTTGTTCGGTGGAGGCAGGCTAACTACGACTTGGGTTCGTCTGACGACTCTGGTTCGTCTGACCACTCGTCGGTTTGAACCCGTCGTGAAACACTCCAATCTAGCAGGGAAGTGGTCTGCGGTTTTTGTAGACCACTTTCGGTGGAGTTCCTCTTTTGGTTTCGGGGACCCTGTCTTTTTCCACCCCGGTTCACCGGTGCGAGTCGTTCTCCGGCCGTGCTCGTCCTGTGTTCCACGGCCAGGCGCCTTGAGGGACAAATCCTATGAGGTGAGATTGAGTGCCTCGGGACAAAGAAAGCAGCTTTCCATTTTGGTGTGCCGTTTTGGTGTGCAGTTTTTGAAAGGTCCTGTCCCAGTTTCTTTAGTAGTAAGATGTAGTAGGTTTCCAGCTGCTCGCTGCTGGATTGGAAGCCAGTTGGCGAGCTGGCGGGTCATTTCATGTACTTAATCAATCTTAATTGTATACCCCCCTTCACCACTCCCGAGTGTATATAGCTACTAGCAACATTCCCCTCCAGTGTGCCTTACCTATCTTACCTGGCGCCTTTGGCTTCAGGTGCGCTTGAGGCCCTGATGCAGGTGGGCCATGCAGCGGCCAAGTACTCGACGAGCATCATGTCGGTCATGGAAGACGATGTCTACTTGGTGCGTTTGAAGGCTTGCCAAACCATCGCGGCCATCGGCGCGACCGATGTGATGGATCCTTGGTGAAAGCGCGAAGAAGTCGGACACCTTCCCACCCTTTTTTTCGCATAGTAACAAGAAGCTACTAGGGGCTCCTGGCCTTACTGCTAGGAGCATTCTTACTAGTAACAAGAAGCTACAAATGGCTTCACGGAGCTGCGGTTGTAAACCGGGCAGAGGAGTCGGACGCGAGCGACAGGAGACCGAGGAGTCGCGCTCTCCGGAGCACAGGCCGATCGATCCTTCGTTGTCGCTTTGGAGCCCAGAAATCAGATTGGATTGAAGCTTTTTCAGCCTGGAGCCACCTGGTGGTCTGAAGTTTGGTGCTCCTTCGACAGATTGGTTCCCAGCCCGAGGTGATGTTCACCAAATGAGCTGAGCAACGAAGCGAACGTGGAATATCACCTCCCTAAACGCCAACATAACAACTGAATTCGAGGAACATCATTTCCCTCACCACCTCTGGCAGGGTCTGGTCTATGTTTGCAATGTTTGTCTAGACTGTAGCGGCTGGTTGCCACACTGGTGAGGGTTGCACGCCAATGCGGGCCCAACCAGGACAACCTTCCAGATCTCTTCCAAGACGAAGCCCCCTCAGTGCGTCAAGCAGCTTTGGATGCTCTCGCGACCAACTCCGACATCGGCAAGAAATATTCCTCGCAGGTCTTTAAGTGCATCACAGACGAGTGTCTTGCCGAAACCATCCTGGTTGATATGCACGTGGCACGTGCAGAATGCAGAGGATCCCAGCCTTCTTCGCAGCCAAAAGGGTGGATCTACTGAGATCTTGGTAGAACCCACCAGAGATACAGTAGATCGGATAGATGTTCCCCTGCATGTGGGTCACGAGAAGAAGACAATCTTAGGAAGCATTGGACCTGTTTCGTTTGAGATTGGCACTCAGTCGATTGTGATTCGGCGACTAGCTGTGTCCTCCCAAAGTCGATGATAGCAGCTAGATTGGCCACCTAACCCCCCTCACCCACTTCCCATACTCGTCGTTTCTGGGTTTGGCACGCCAGTCTCTTCCCAGTCTCGTGTGGTCCTGGAGACCTGAGGTACGGTTGCGTTCGGGCTGCGGCGATGAGGTGTTTGGCGAGTATGGAGTCGGTGGGGCAGTGCTATGCTAGCACCATCGCAGGCGAACTCAGTAGTCAGGATCCCGAGTCCAGAGCTGCTGCCTGTGAGACCTTGGGGATGCTCGGATGAATGGAGGTTGGTGGGTCCAAATGGACCAATGAATTATGAGGAGTTTGATCACGTCTGGAATCTGGATTCTGCTCATCATTTGGGGAGTCTGGCCCACCTGCTTTGCCATGTGTGGGATTGTGAAAGGGGATGTTGCATGGCAAGGGGCGCTGTGTGAACATGAGCTGAGTAGGTGAGCCTTACCATGGCTGACCTCAGGCCTTGTTCTGCTGTTTCCTGTCCGTACTCACGTATGTTTCAGAGGGAGAGGGTGGTCAACAATTGCACACCATTGCTGATCTCCTTATGAATGCCGGAGAGAACAGCGGTCGCCCATACAGTATGCAATTCAAGAGGGCTGTGCGGGTCTTCTCCCTCTAATTCACCAAGCCAACGTAGGTAGGTGACTTGCTCAAGACCATTGAACCAAAAGGCAAGCCGACTCCTAGCGGTCCTAGCGGCCGAGTGTGGCCTAGCTATCCAGACATGGAGCACCAACCCCGACCGCCCGGGTTCCTGGTGAGGAAGTTGGGCGACTATGGTGCGGCCTTCACAGAGGAGATGGAGGTGTGCCAGCATGATGAGATCCCCATGGTCCGAGAGGCAGCGGCCCATGCCCTGGTCACATGGCGTATATAGGCATAGAAGTGAGTTTTGTACGGGTTTTGATGGCCCTTGGAAAGACTTTGCGTCTTTCAACAGGACAGGAGGCTGCCAACTCAATGATTGCCCCATGCGACAGGTCAAGGTGGGCCGTTTTCTCCAGGCGACAGGCATTTTTTCCATGTGCAACGTAGCTGGGCCGAAGCTGACCCAAGTTCATGATCCTTCATTGAAAGCTGGGCTTCTGGAATCATATGCAGTATATAGCTTTTCGGCTTTTCACTTAGTCACTCAATCACAAAAATCCAACTGGTAGTGGGACACGCCAATGAAAACTACTGGGTCACGGGGTCTTGGCATTGTCCACTTAAATTAGAAGGAGCTTCCAATCAAGGGTGTTATGGTCACTTCTTTTCAGAGCTGCATCCCGAAAACTCCAACCCCCCAGTTCCTCACTCCAAGCACCTTCTCAGGAGGTCAGCTGCTTGGAGCCCTAGGCATTCCCGGATCCGAGGTGAAGCTTGGGGCCAAAGCTGGTGCTCGTGGCATTGAGAACGGCAGCATGTGAGAGTCGTGCCGGACCAGTGGAGGACCAGTGGAGCAGTGGCCAGAACCATGGTGTCTTGAAATGGGGATTGCAGCCAGCCCAACCAAATGGATCAACACAAGAGGACCCGCAATTTTGAGCCAACTTGAGGTCCCAGAAACTGGAAGTTTTGGTGGATGGTGTTCGAATAAATTGATGCGTCTTCATTTTGAGACACCGCCCCGAGAGGTTGAGTGCCTTTTCCAATGAAAACAGGGGCGTGGCATGGCTGGCTGGGAGTCTGCGGGGTTGTGTGCATAGGGCGCGGCAATTGTAAGGCCCCGACCGTGGCACGTGCTAGGATCGTTTCCTTGCGGGTTTTGTTATTCGTGTTTGTTGGTTGGATACCGGATCCCTCGAGAACTCTCGACATTTTTCAGGTAAACAGACAGTTCCCTAGAAGCGGTGATCAACGAAGGCGCCTTCAATCGGGTCTTCCACATTTTTCCATCCATGGCGTGGGATCTTCTGTTTTTTCCCTTGGTTGCTTTTGCGACCGAAGGACCCATTTTTGTACGGAGGATCTGTTGGACTGCCCAGATCATGATGTTCTTCGGAGTTCTTCGTGCAAAGCAGGTGAAGCAGGTCCAGACCTGCTTGCTGAATGCCGGAGAACTGCTCTACCTGCCCGGAAGCTTACCGGGTTCGAACGGGGCTTTGACCGGGGGCTCAACGGCTGGAGAACTGATCGAAGGCCATCGGCCCTTCCTGAGATCCGATTGGCCGTGAAACTCTTCGTTGGGAACTTGGTAGTTCCCCATTTGAATGGCGTCTTCACTGATGGGTCTCCCAAAAGTGGTGTAGGAGGGGCTGGTCCATCAACAGGATGAACTTTAGGGCTTCGGAGTCGATCCATTCAGTTTTCGGAACCGATCATGAATGCAATGCAGGTCAAGACGATGAGTTCTTGTTACCGTGGATTTTGTGAAGGGGTCTTTTGCGTGTTGAGGCACATTCAGAATTCAGATCCGTTTTCAACAGGCTTCCTCTAGCTGAACCTCAGTAGAGCACAGCATGTGTGCAATATGATTTGGCAATATATGATTCGAAAAAACACACACTATATATACAAGCAGTTCCCGGGCAAGCCGGCGGCGGAAGTTTCCTATAAGAACAAATTGACCTATAGGAGTGTCCCGGTTCTTTCCACCATGCGTGTCGCTCGTGTCCCTCAGTCAGAGCTGCTAGAGCTAACTGGAGCTAGAGCTATTGAAACTAGAGCTAACTGGAGCTAGAGCTATTGAAACTAAAGCTAACTGGAGCTAGACGTTAGCTATGATGTGATAGCTTGTCTTGACGGACAGTAATCGAAATGAGCACTTTTAACTTTTAAGTAAGCAAATTAGCTAAAATTTGCCAACCTCTCAAGAGAGCCGGGTGGCCGGGAGAGATGACTCAGCTGCAGCGGCGCCAGAACAGCCGCGAGAGATGACTCAGCCGCGAGGGATGACTCATCCGCGTACTAAAGTTGCACCACAAAGTCGCCAGTTCTCAGCTTCCAGCTCCGCAGATTGCTCCGCGCACTAAAGTTGTACTAGAAAGTCGCCAGTTCTCAGCCTCCAGCTCCCCAGCCTACTCCGCGTACTAAAGTTGTACTACAAAGTCGCCAGTTCTCAGCTTCCAGCTCCACAGACTGCTCCGCGTACTAAAGTTGTACTACAAAGTCGCCAGTTCTCATCTTCCAGCTCCACAGATTGCTCCGCGCACTACAGTTGTACTACAAAGTCGCCAGTTCTCAGCTTCCAGCTCCCCAGATACTCCGCGTACTAAAGTTGTACTACAAAGTCGCCAGTTCTCAGCTTCCAGCTCCCCAAGTTCCTCCGCGTACTACAGTTGCACTGCAAAGTCACCAGTTCTCAGCTTCGAGCTCCCCCAGATGCTGTGCCTGCCACGAATTCTGCACCTCGAGGTTCACAAAGTGCTGTGCCTGCGACGAAATCTGCACATGGAGGTTCACAAAGTGCTGCGCCTGCCACAAAATCTGCACATGGAGGTTCACAAAGTGCTGTGCCTGCCACGAAATCTGCACATGGAGGTTCACAAAGTGATGCGCCTGCCACGAAATCTGCACATGGAGGTTCACAAAGTGCTGTGTCTGCCAGGAAATCTGCACATGGAGGTTCACAAAGTGCTGTGCCTGCCACGAAATCTGCACGAGCTTCACAAAGTGCTGCACCCGCCACGAATTCTGCACATGGAGGATCACAAAGGGCTGCGCCTGCCACGAAATCTGCACCTCGAGGTTCACAAAGTGCTGCACCTGCCACGAAATCTGCGCATGGGGGTTCACAAAGTGCTGTGCCTGCTTTGAAATCTGCACATGGAGGTTCACAAAGTGCTGTGCCTGCCACGAAATCTGCACATAGAGGTTCACGAAGTGCTGTGCCTGCCACGAAATCTGCACTTCAAGAAACAAGTGAAAACTCTAATCACAATGGAGGTACGATTCCGAGCATGATCCGACCATCACTACCCCCTTGCGGTGCTTGACCCCCCCGGGGGGGTCAATTACATTTTTGATTTTACAACAATAGCCTTATATAGCCCTATAGGGGGGGGGTGAAAATTGTAAGATCTAGGGTTGAGGTAGCCTATGTGAGGATGTTATTTTTTTTTGACCCCCCCCCTGAAAGAGGTCTTGGCCTACTTCTGGAGACTTTGAAAGGAGGGGGGGTAGGCCAAACAAACACACACAAGGGTCAAGAATGTAACTTGCATTTTTGACCCCTGTCTTGTGAGATGAAGGTACATCAGACCTGTATGTTCAATTTTCACCGTTTTCCAAAACCTGCTTTTTGACACATCCGAAATTGTAAATTACACGTCTTGCACACGTCGTTCTGCAAAGCTTGACTTGCCAGCTTCGGAGCCACCCTTTCTATTGAAAAACACAGCATTTCGTGCGTCCGCTATCTCTCGAAAACGCATTTTGTATTGCGCCTGCCACGCAATCTTCATGGAGGTTCACAAAGTGCTGCGCCTGCCACGAAATCTGTACATGGAGGTTCACAAAGTGCTGTGCCTGCACATGGAGGTTCACAAAGTGATGCGCCTGCCACGAAATCTGCACATGGAGGTTCACAAAGTGCTGTGTCTGCCACGAAATCTGCACATGGAGGTTCACAAAGTGCTGTGCCTGCCACGAAATCTGCACGAGCTTCACAAAGTGCTGCACCTGCCACGAATTCTGCACATGGAGGTTCACAAAGGGCTGCGCCTGCCACGAATTCTGCACAAAGTGCTGTGCCTGCCACGAAATCTGCACCTGGAGGTTCACAAAATGCTGCACCTGCCACGAATTCTGCACATGGAGGTTCACAAAGTGCTGTGCCTGCCACGAAATCTCCACCTCGAGGTTCACAAAGTGCTGCACCTGCCACGAAATCTGCGCATGGGGTTCACAAAGTTCTGTGCCTGCCACGAAATCTGCACATGGAGGTTCACAAAGTGCTGGAAATCTACGCATAGAGGTTCACAAAGTGCTTCGCCTGCCACGAAATCTTCACTTCAAGAAGTGGTGTATGATGAGTGGTGTATGATGATTGGTGTATGATGAGTGGTGTATGAACAGTTCTTGAATGGAAGTTTCGTACACTAAACTTCCTTTGATTATACACAGTCACCTTGAACCCTTTAACGGTTTGCGCTTCATGGACGGATGGGTTTCAATGTCTACAGATTTGTCATTCCACTTCCCTTTCGAGCCGGGGGCATGAAACTGTGAGCTGGGTATGTCTCAGACAGGAGGCGCTCCCCCCAGCAGCAGGCACGGAGGTCGCATTCCCTCAGCAGGTTGCTGTTTCAGCTCAGGCCCTCGCAATGGAGACACGGGACCTGCAATGCCGGAAGCCCGAGATGCCATGGCCCTCCGCCAGATTCCACCGTGAAAGGGTTTTGTGGGAGCAGGTCATAGCAGATCCCTAATGTGTTTAGATCCACCAATGACCACAGGGGGAGTCGATCTATGAACCTGGTGGCACGTTGGATGCGTAGGCCAGGCATGACCATGGTCCTCAGTCGCTCCCGGTTGCTCGGGCGCCGCGCGAGTCGCTCGAAGGTCGGGGACTTCTCCGCGGGCATCGGCTACATCGGCGCCATCGACCACCTTCCCAAGGCCCGCCGTGCATGGGGGCGGCCAGCCGACCTTGGGGGGCGTGCCGACCAGATGGGGCATGCCAGGTGACCTGGCTGGCAGCTGTGGATGACCTGCCGATGCCTGAAGGGCTCAGGGACTGGCGAGTCACTGTTTGTTGGGCGTGCAGAGCTGTTTCGAGTTGTCTCGGATGCTCCCCGTTCACGACGCCATATGCTTCCAGAGAGTCATGAGCCCAATCCTTTTCGTCGACGCAATCGAAGCCTGGAGGTCGGGGCTCAAAGCTGAGCTGCAGGCGCTCTGCGGTTGGGCTCCACAAGGGTGCAAGTGCAACCGCAGGGTTTTCCCACACATCGTGACAGGTGCAACAGGTCAAAACCGAGCCAGTATAGATTTTAAGCCCAGCTGGACTGGCTTGATTGGCGGTTCCACTTGTTCCGGAATCCGTGTAGCTAAGTGAGGAGCAAGACATGGAAGTCAAATCAAATCTTTCTGTATGAAGCACGGGGAGGCCTGCTTACCGCAGATTTGCTCTAATATTTCCAGCTCCCCCCATTTGAGCAAATTTTTCATTTCTTCAACATATTTCAACATAATGTTTTTGGACCCATGGTTTGAGTAGGAAGCAGAACAGCAGCATTGTGAGACTGCTGTGTAACTTGGGCTCCATTTGTGATTCGGGCCTCCCATCTGATGGTCAGCATCCGAACACGGTCAGGACAAGGACAAGGATGAGGTCGTGGAAGCCTTGATGGTGAAGGATGTTCTTCGGGAGTGGCTGACCTGAGGTCAGAGTGATGAAGTGCTAAACAGTTGCCAAGCCATCACTGAGCTTGAAGATTCATGAACCCCACCAATCAACAGTGTCCTCTTCAGGATGCGGTGGACCCATGCAGGGCTTTTCCCGGGCCGCATGCATGAACACATCCGTCGAAAAGCAATTCCTTGGGACATCCGCCGATTTCAGCGAGGACGCAAGTCGTAACCCGTCGAAAGCCACCTGAAAGCCTCAAAACATCTCAAAGCTGACTCTCAAAGGGTCCATGCAGTTGGCGGTCCGTGCGAATTCCGGTGCGAATTGAGGCGGTCGTTTGAATAATGAGCCACAAGTGAGTCGTGACTGGTGCTGACGAGACATTTTCAGGACCGGGATGGAAAGCAGTACGGGGCCCCAGTTCTGGGGCCTCAGGCGGCCTCGGGTGAAAGCGCGGGCAGGCAGAGGAAAAGAGAGAATATGCAAGCAGATTTGGAAGACGGTCGTGGTGACCCAAATCGGCGAATTGAGCAATTCTGAGCTTCTTAGGCTAGGCTTAGAATGAACTCTGCCACAGATCCTTGAGAAAGGCACGGGTTTGTGTATACGAGTCCTACAAGCGCAAATGTTTGACCAGAACTGATGCTCTTAACCCCTGACATGAACCATCGCAGGTGCTCAGAGAGAGCCAGACCTGGTGTTGTCACTCTCCGGTGGGTGCGACCATCCCCAAAGTAACCAGAGTTGAGAGCATGCGCTATCCCCTGGCAAGCTCGCATGCTCCTTGGAACTTGGTTGCAACCTCCCCAATGTAAATCTTCATTCACTTCAAACCACGTCACCTCAAACATATCTGGCACAGCCCCTGGTTTTCTCGCACTGTTGTGAATATCAGAGGTATGTGGTCCCTGGGCCACAAGTTCATGGGTAGGGCCCCGCCAACGGGGAGGGGAAACCACCCAACTTCCGTGGGTCCTGGTGGACCTCGTCGCTAGGTTCCCAGACACAATGAGAGGTGTCCCTGCTGTCCACGACCGACGGGTTGGAGTCCAACCCAGGCCGCTGCACTGGGCTGCACATCGTGGCCACCAGCGCATGGTGAGGCGAGGAAAACACTAACGACTTGCTCGCAACAACTTCAGGTGATTTGGACCATGAGGATGTGCCCAGATGGCTTACATCGGCCGCCCCCCCCCGGTGTCGGTTGCTCCTCCGAGTGCAGGGAGCTGCTGAAGATGCGCGCCTTCCATGGGGCCTTGGACCGGCACGGCGCCAGGTGAGGAAGCGGAGGAAGCGCCAAGAGATGGCAGGTGAGTTGAGCTACAGTGGGTTCAGAGTAGATGGCACGGGTGACCCCAAGTTAGGTGGTTTATATGGACCCCCATCATGTCGACCAGACATGTAGGTAGGGGTGCCAGTGCCATCGAACCTCTGAAAGCACGGTAGAAAGCAGGCCATGTGGTGTCGACCATCAGGTGACCAGGTCCTGTCCACTCGTCACAGATGTTGCGCACCATCCTTGCTTCCGAAGGTTGTGGGTGAACACCCGCCAGGGATTTGCAGACCGCATTTCCAGCCCAGCAACGTGGAACAGGTCCCTTGGAGGACTAGGAAACCCCTCTACAAGCTTAGTTTCCCTTACAAGCTTGAAACAGCTGGAAGGTGTTTTTCATCCCTTGTTTTATTTTTTGAGGTCAATTGGGATGCTTATTGACTGAATCGCGGTGATCAGTTTGGAAGAGCCCTTTGGCTACTTGGGATGGAGCCCAAAAGCTCCGAATTCGGGGCGGAAACGGCTGGCTCAAACCTTCGCCCCAAAAAGGTCGCCCGGTCCCAAGATGGGTTTAACTGGCGGAGGTTCCATTGAAGACCCTCCAACTATCAGAATAAAAACAGGAGCGTAAGAGATGGTCACTTTTTCTGAGAAAGGCCTTGACTTACTTACAATCATCCACTGGGCCCTGGTCATATACCCAACCCGAACGCACACCCATCGGCGAAGGCCTGTGCACCTGGCCGCCTTTGAGGGGCATGAGAAGGCTTTGCGCCAACTCCTCGAGGCGCAGCGGGACCGGTCAGACGGAGGGGGCCACAGCAGAGGCTCCAAAAGGGCAATCCTTTGGTGGATTCAAAGAGGTTTGTGGGACCTTTACAGGCCCTTTTTGTGTAATTACATGTGCAACTCTGTATCTGAATTGGATTCATCCGATGATTTCTGCACCATTCACTGCGATCCATGCGTTCACCGACGGATGCGTTCACGCCGAGGTCGAGACACGGAAGAGCGCCATGGCTCGAACGGAGGGTGGCGCTGAGCCACTCCATTTGGCGGCCACCAAAGGCTGGGGCTGTAGAAAGGGTGCGCTGGTTGGGGCCACTCCTCCTGGTGAATATTGGTTCATCATGAAGCCCCCCGGCCCAGACATGGATGGTCAAACCTCGCCAAGGTTGGGTATAGTCCAAGAGTCTACATCAAGGTTTGGCGTGGAGAGGATGCAGGAGGTGATGGTGGGGTTGGAACTATGGTGGAACTCTACCAAATGACAAAACAACACATTTTCTTGAGGTCAGTCCGAAGTATCTGTTGTCAAGGTGCGCAACGTGTCTGACAGGTAAAGAACTGGTGTCACTGTTTCTAAGGACTGGCCTGCTGTTCAATCATTCACTGGTAACTCCCAAACATGGACGACCCGGAGCGACGTCTCCACAGGACACACCTCAGTCGAGTCTCGTTCGCATCAAACAGGAGTGGGACATGATGGGACTGGGGATGTGAATGGGCTTCCGCGAGATGACCTGAGCTCTGGGGGTGGTCGTGGTTAAGAGAACTTGATCAGGAAAAGTGGCCCTTTTCATTGGCAAGAGGATCCCGCCACGGTCTTCCGTTCTGGATCAGAACCGCTGGGTGGGCCTCGGTCAAGGTTCGGGGGCAGAGCTGGGTTGCTTCTTGGGTGGTTTTGGACCTTGTGGACTGCCAAGCGAGGTTGAGCATTCTAGGGGCTGTTCAACCTCTCCAGGGCAAGAGGTGGGTGCAAACTATACATTCAATTGAACGCTTCACTTGGTCCATTGAAGAGGGTGGGTGGCCCTAAAGACTGACCAACCACAAAAAATTCGCCTGAGAGCCCGAGGCAATTTGGACCACTTCAGTTGCTCAGGGATGATTTTCAGTTTCACATGGCACCCACAATTCCATGACAGCTTCAGCCTGCATGGCCTGCATGTTCCAGCATCATTCAATTTCGTTTTCGTCTTTCTGGCCACTTCCAGTGACCCCTTTGGTGGTTGACGCCGTTGCCGGGTTCAGACAAATGACCTCTTTAGGCCAAGCTTCTACTGCGGAAGCGGGCTTCCCCGTCCGCGCGTGGGGCAACTTGGAAACCAGAAGACGGTCGGATCAGGTGATCGTGGCAGTCGGAGGGAGCCGCACATGTGCACCTGGGTGAAACATTTGAGTCAGAAAAAATAGAACAGTGATCGTGGCGGTTTGTTTGGCTTATAGGTAGACGTCGGCATATGACACACACACACACAGACATTTATACACTGTATATACATGTGTTTGGTGCACTGGACTTTTTAATAAGAGGATTGTCACGCAGAGTAGGCGCAGACGCTTCCTCCAGTGGCTTGGTAGGGTTGCTTGGCCAGTGGCTTGGTGGGCACTAAGAGGTGGTTCCAACTTGTTCCAACGAGAGAGGTCTAACCCAGACGAACGAGTCGCGGACCTGCTGCGCAAGCAGGTGACAACAAAGGAGCGGAGCCCCTGCACATGGCTGCCATGGGCCCCAGCAGAGTTGGATGTGGCAGCTTTTTCTCTTGGTCGATTCGGCGTGCGGGCGGGCCTCCATGGAAAGGCACCCTGCAAAAGGAAGGTGGGGCTCAGCCTGTTTGCCTTTGAAGGCATTCACGCCAGGGGAAGAAGCATGAGAGATTTCTACAGCTGATCAGTGTAAACGCGGGGTGTGGTTGAGACAGAAACCCTAGACCCTAAACCCTAGACATTCCCAAACCATAACGTCACCCAAAACCAACGCGGTGTGTTTTGACTTCGAGCTTTCTGGGGTCGGTGACCGCAAGCCTATTGTGATCAGTCGAAGCCAGGCGCCGAGACTCCGGCGCAGCCGGCTTTGTCGGCGTCGCCGTTGGTGTCGATTCTCTGCCTGCCGTCATCCCAAGGCTTATGAAGGGCACACTGCAATGGTCGACCTCCTGCTCGCCAGGGCACTTAGCAGCTGGTGTCTCATCAGAAGATTGCACAACACTGGAGGGATTCCATGCGGAAGCTGCACCATCACACTCACACACACTTAGATCAGGGCTCGCAAGAGCTGTATCAGTTACGACTTCCCAGTGAGATTAGCACTTTACGTTACTGAGAGTTAGACCTTGACTTGACTTGCAAAACAGAAAGAATGCTGGGTCGGCAAAACTGAAAGGTTGGAACATCACGCGTTAGCCCTTTACAGAAAAGTGGGGTGGACAGCTTGCTCAACAGTTGAAACTCAAGAAATCGAATCTGAATCTGGCCACCAGCTGCGTCTTACAAAGCGCCCAGGTGCACCATTGCAGATACGTTTGCACGTCCAAACTTTCACGGTCTTCGTTGGCTCTGGCGTAGAGCCCCCTGTGCATGCAAGAGCTAGACAATGAATCGAATTACACATGGTAGGTTCCTTGGTGTGGTCAAGTTCCTTAGAGACAGGTTTTGACACACAAAAAGTTGTCATTCGGCGCTCTCTAATGATTGGGGTGCGGGAGGGAAATTTGGTCATGCAGCATCACTCAATTGACACTCTGGCTGCGTTGCAAAAGGCCAACCAAATTGACGAATCGGTTTGCACGGATCACTCGCAATCACTGTGCTAGGTCATGCCCTTTTTGGGCGTATAAGTGGGCTAGCTGAGCAAGCGCTCGCTCAGCTGCCGAGGCCGGGTAGGTGTAGTTGCGGATGAGGTGGGCGCGGGAGTTGAGGCCAGACAAACGTAGCCGTTGAGAACCAGCGGAAGTGTGGCCCCTAATCTTCCATGGGTCATTTGGTGGAATGTAGGTGATCGTGCGTTAAGTGAGGTCCACATCGAAGCCAAGGAGGTGCATGTCCTCCACGGGTTCCAGCTCCACTGGATCGCCGAAGAAATCAGGATGTATCAAGGCTTGGGTGCCGATGTGGTTCAGGAAGGTGTCGTTGAACGTGATGAAGCGGTTGTCGACATAGCGATAGTAGGCAAAGTGAATCTGGGTGTGATTGGTCAAGCTATGTTGTAATTGAATGTAATTGAGTCCAAGAGTGTTCGATGAGGGTGACGGCGACATTGCACAAGGCTTGTGAGAGTTGGGATCCAATCCCAGCTCCGCGTGTCTGTTTGAAGTAGATAGTGTATGTATGCTTGAAAAATGCATGTGTCCAGTGCAACTTTGACGATGGTTGGGATGTCTTCGGTGTCGATGGTGCGTTGTGTAGGATGGCGACGGTGGTGTTGTCCAATGTGAGACAATTGAATGGGATTGTGTGGTGAGGCTCTTGGCCGCGTCCAACAGGCGGTCTTGTGGGACTGAGTTGAAGAACCCCACGAGGTCATCGTTGATGGCATGTAAAGTGATGTGTGTAGGTGTGTGGTTGAGATAGTCGGGGATGGTGGATTTGTTTGCAAAGCTGTGGAATGGAAAGTTGGCCTGATGCTTGCAATGAAGGCGAAGGATCATGGTTGTTGTTGCGGTGGAGGTGGCTCGAAGAGTACCGAAGTGAGATTTGAAATACGAAATGATAATACGACCTGTCTGCCATTGTTTCTTGGCTTTTAGGTGGATGATGGTGAACTTGGCACGAAAAAGCCCCATCGGTATTTCCTGCGTAGGTGGCCCGGGAAGGCCTGCCGGAGATGGAGTCGAATGGTGTCTGTGGTGTGGCCTGGAAGGGGTTTGAAAAGTTCGGGTGGCTAGGTGGCGAGGCTTCAAACCATGGGACTCGCGTACAACTCAGCACGACCCTCGAGATACTCACACAAATCCACGAAACCCCACCGTTCCACGATCACATCACGACCACCCTTCCCACAGGACTCCAACACCATGCCCAACACACCCAACACTTCCTTGCCAACCAGTGGCAACAACACCTTCAACACCTACACACTGAGCCACGATTCACAGCACGATCCACCAAACAGTTGCAACACTTCCTGGCGATCATGCGAATCTTTTGTCCGAAGATCTATATCGAAGTACGTCAGGATCGCCAACAAATGTCCTTCGCGTGCTTCAAGTGCGAATGCCCAGAATCTTGCCTCTGCCATGAAGAATGGATGCGAGATGAAATATGAGAGCTTGAGGCGGCTGGTGACGAAGGTCAAACTTGCTTGAGCCGTGAGACCAAGGCGATGGTCACATTCTGTTTCACCATCTCAAGACGTTGCGCAGGCAGCCACCACTGCTCGAGGAGGCTTCGCCACCAGAAGCGAAGGCACTGGCGGACTTGAATGAAAAAGCAGAGATCGCCAGCTTGCAGCCTGCATTGCCAGAAGAGCTGAAAGATGTCCCTCGTCAACGCTGGTCGCACGCATAATGTGCTTGTTTCATATTTGGCGCGCGCCTGCCGTTTATCTGAATTTGACTCGTTCTTCGACGGGTCATTTTCTCGAATCGCGCGCCCGGTTGCATCTTCTTGGAGCAAAGGGTCGCGGGCTATGACAAGATTTTCAGCGCGCCTGAGGGCCACGATTATCCCTTCTGTTCGGGACCAGTTTGTCCTCACATCCACAGCCCCGATTGGGGAACAGCGCAAGAAGTTGCTCAGCGTTTCTGCAAAAAAGGGTCCCCTCCCTGCGTCACTGAGCGTTGCTGAGAAGTTGCTGGACAGCAAGGCGAGAAGCTGCCATCACTGTCACAGAACCGCGGAAAAAGTTGAGACAGCTGGGATAACCAAAACAACCGATGTTCAACATTGCTCAACGCATATGGGGTTGCTTGAACACCTGCAAAATTGCGCAAATAGATGCAACAAGACAAACCAGTTCAGGTGCTATCTAAAACGAGCCCCTCCAGATTCAGACACTGTGTCGAGACACTGTTCGTAAAGGGTCACCGACTATATCTCCATGCCCTCGACAGGTTGGCTTCATGCAAAGTATGTTTCAAGCCGGCTTGGCATTGCAGCCAGCAGTGGGCCTCAAGGCGGGGGATTCTCTCTTCAAAGAGACTTCTTCGTATGCGCATGAATTTGGATGAGACCATTCCCTGCTGAAGTACATCCTGTGGTCCGAGGAAGACATGCCGTCAGAGCTGGTCACGACGCCAAATGCCATGAGTTGGAGAAACGCAACAGCTTTGTTCTTGTCAAGAACGCTGGTTTTTGCCAGCGCTCGGGGTGTATTCCAACGATCGTACTGAGCGTCTCCGGCGGTGTCAGTCCCCTGCGCATAGAAGCCGATGGCCTGCGGGTTGTGGAGGGTACTGGTTCGGAACCGGCCACTCTGGAGCAAATTGAGCAAATTGCTCTCTCCAGTAGCATGGCATGCGAACATGCGTTTAGTGCCATGTTGTTTGTCAGTGACTCGCCGACGGGCTGGAATGTGGGTGATGCGTGAACGTGCTTGGAGCTTGGGGTGTACAATTCCACTTTGTGGTATCTTGGAGAGACTCCTTCCAGTCACTGTAGGTCCACTGTTGAACCTCCTGGATATCTTGCGCTTGCAGGCTGCGTGGAGGAGTTTTTGCCACGTAGTGGATCATAGGGGTGTTTCCTGGGGTGTAGAGTTGATCGCATTGGTGGTGCAGGTTGTGGTGGATCTGCTCGTCATCCTTGTCGGCCACACTGTCCTGGTTGGCTTGTGGGTAGGCGTTGGGCGGATACCACAAGGGTTCGGTGGTGTCTTGCGGGGAGTGGAGGTGGCAGGCTCTGCTTCAGCATGTTCAGTGTTGGGTATCAGGCGAATGTGTTGGCGTGGTGGTGTGCGTGAACGTTGGCGCAGGGGCGGTGGAGCCCAAAACGCCACAAGGCTTGGGTGGTTGTTGGGGAGGTTGAGTTATGGTCGTGCAGGAACGAGAAGTCAATCAAGGATCACTCTTAAGGACGTGTGCAAAACGCGCCCCTCGACGGGGATCACACCACACCACAGACCTCAGTGGGACCCTGTGGCGAGACACACTTAGATCAGGGCTCGCAAGAGCTGTATCAATTACGACTTCCCAGTGAGATTAGCACTTTACGTTACTGAGAGTTAGACCTTGACTTGACTTTCAAAACAGAAAGAAGGCTGGGTTGGCAACACTGAAAGGTTGGAACATCACGCGTTAGCCCTTTACAGAAAAGTGCGGTGGAGCGCTTGCTCAACAGTTGAAACTCAAGAAATCGAATCTGAATCTGGCCACCAGCTGCGTCTTACAAAGCGCCCAGGTGCACCATTGCAGGTACGTTTGCACGTCCAAACTTTCACGGTCTTCGTTGGCTTTGGCGTGAAAGTGGACCCAGAGCCCCCCCTGCACTGTACATGCAAGAACTAAACAATGAATCGAATTACAAACGGTAGGTTCCTTTGTGTGGTCAAGTTCAGTTCCTTAGAGCCAAGTTTTGACACACACACACACACAGGAAGGATAGGGGAATTGACAAGGTTTGGGGGATGAGTGTAGCTAAGCAGGGGCGGGGGTGACGACTTGAGGATTGACTTTTGCAGGCTCTTGGGACACGGAAAACTTGGGTGGTGAGTGGACACCCCGACATCCGACATCCAAAGGTGTGGGCCCGTGTTGGCTGCTCGTAGGCGTTTGGCTGAGACTCCTTTCCGCCCCAAATTCGCCCATGGCGTGTGACGATGTCCTGGGCAGAGATGGAGCCCCCATCGCGTGGGCAGATGCAAAGCTCTTCGGCATAGCTTGAACAATCTTCTTCCCCGTATCGCGCCGCAAGGACACAATAAATATGTGCTTTCCTCATGGTGGACGATCCGGTGGTTGCAGTCTACACCTGCCATACCTGCTCGGAGAGCAAGGGGTGTGCAATTAACACAGGGTGTGGATGTACATGGGCAATCCCCTAGCAGACGAACATGAAACCAGATGGAACCCCCAACCCCCACAGGTTCTCGGGATCGTCCGCGGATCGGGTCGGAGCGCCCGATCGGGTCGCGCCATCGGTCCGGAGGAAGCCGTGAAATCGATGCCCCACCAGGGCTCCCGGGGGTCGGAGTCACATGGCCCCATGGGCCGGAGGTCACCCGCTGGCAGCTGGAGTTGTACAGCGGAACACGCACCGTGACAGCGTAAAACACACCGTTACGGTCATCCGCACTTGGGAAGGACCAATAGAGGTAAGAGCTGATTTTTTTTGCCCCTAGAATCATTGAAAATCAATGAATTTGACTGATGACTTTGGAGCTAACTAAAGGGAAAACAAAATACTACCTTTATGAAAGGCATCCTCTTTTAACTGATGTGTGAGTGTTTTCTGGATTCTGATTTTGACAACTTTGGCACTTTGGGAGTTGAGCCCTATATCATGTGCATGCCATGTTTTTGCCAATTTTCAGCTTACACATGACCGGGTGCTAGCACAACTCTCAAGACACTAAGCTGCCCCAACTCCCATGTCACTAGCCAATTATAATGGTTTTTAGATTCTTAGTGAACAACCATGGTTACTCAAAATTTTACAAAACCAGGTCAACCATGTGTTGAATGGGGTTCGAAGGCTAGGGAGTGAATGAACTAAGAGGCTTCCGTATGACATGGCCCATTTCCTTCACAGCCACCCAGGTTAGCTGCCGCTCTGTCGCAGCTTGAGCTTGCGCTGGATGGACAGCCACTGCCCATTGATAGCCCCTGGCTGGCGGCTGCCTTTGTGCAACGGCATGAGGACCCGGAGCAGGTGAGCAAGCAATGAAGGAAACAGACGGAAACTAGCACCACTTGACCACTTGGTGTATATATATATATTTATATATATATATATACATACACATGCTCACACAACTCCCTCTGAAATAATGGAATCCCGTCCATGTATTCGCTGGGTCTAACAAATGGTTTCTATAAAGCAAGTTGCCCTGGTTCATCTCTTTTTTTTCTCGATTTCTTTGCCAAGCCTCAGGGAAAGCTGTTGGTTTGGTAGGCACAGGCCGCACTAAAGTAAAGCAGTCCACCTTTGATCAGGCGTGCTGACGAACATCGTCTCCTCGCAGGAACCATTTTGAGGTTCCTCATATGGTCTAGTATGTATATTATATATATAACTAACTGGACCCCCCATGAAAAAGAGCTGTTTTACCTACCCTCCCCACCATCGAACATGTCTCCATGTCTGCAAAGGGTTCTTCCCTCCTTTCACTCCGGGTCCACGCGACGAGGCCCTGGATGCCATGGAGCGGACGGCCTCCTGGCGCGAGACGAGCGGCGCGATGGAGGCGCGACGGAAGATCTCCGAGGATCCTCAGCCGCTCGGAGGACGCGGGGGGCGGTGCTTCGCCGCTGAGGACGCGTGCGCAGGAGGGGTTCCGGTTGGGGCGTTTTCGTTCTTTTTGGGTTGGGGCGGAAGAGGGGGTGTGCGTTGTGTGTTTGGGAGCGTGGCACCCACCGATAGATGTACTTAGATTGATTCGTGTTGGACAGCGGCGGGGGACCTCAGCGGGTTCTATGCCTTCCGATTCGATGGGCGGTGAATTCGTGCTTGTCACCCACCAAGCCACACCGACCAGCGGCGGTGCGCTTTCGTGCCACGCTGAACCGTGCGCCGAACAGAGCGCAGGCTGTCGTACACTTCATGTTTGTTGTGAGCAGGAACGGGCATTACTTACCCTCCCTCCAACAAGCATGGAAATGGACCTCTCGAGGAAAAAATAGTCTTCCCAGGAACCATTTTCCCTTTCCATGATTTTTGGAGGGAGGGGGGTAGAAATTACTTTTACCAGGACACATGAGGAACAGTGTCGTGTGTGGAGAACGAAACGCTATAACTTTTACATATACATTCAGCAGTTGCAGCTGGTATTCGATCTGTTCGATTCTGTCGTATTCTTTTCAACATTTTACTTTGTTTTCGTGCCAGCAGGGGGGCGTTTTAAGAGTTCTATGCAACATTTGCAGGGCCCTTTGAGCACGTGAGGCTGAGATTTCTGGATTTTCCTTTCGGCCAAGAGGTTCTCAAGTATCTTCCACAGTGTGAGGGAGGCTTGGCCACGGACCAGCGGAACCTGCCCTATGCCATCCGCTGCCCTGGCTTGGCGGATGCCAACGGTCTTTTCTCCAGCATTACGGAGGATGACCTGTTACTCTTCCAAATCTACTTGAGCCTTGACTGACATCGCAGACATCTCTGACGTTTTTCTTTTTTAAATGGTTTAAAGACATAGTGCACTGTAGTTAATCATGCTCCCCGATAAATGGAGAAGATGGCGTATTCTTTCCAATCTATATACTTGAATCTTTGCTAGCTAATCTGCTGACATTTGCCGACCGTGGTTTCTCTTCCAACACCCTGGTTCCAACCCCGTTGCAGCACCTGACTTTTCACTGAGCATCTCGGGTTTGAGCCACTTAGCATCACTTAGTTACCTGCCAAATTGGGATGATCTTTGAGCCGACGCCATCCGTGAGGAATGAATGGCGCCTGTACCAGTTGGAAGGGCACGCACGCTCCACGGGCCACTTCTGTGGAATCCTCATCGTGCAGGACATGTTCGCTCCGGAAGGCTTGCTGAATGCCTGGCGAAAGCAAGGGAAGAAAGCGGGCGTGATGCGACGCCCGGAGGGTCCGCGAGGTTTCGAAGTTTTCGGTGTGATGTTCACTTTCTTTGTTTTCTGTTAAGGGATGCCCCCCCCCTTCCAGGAACCCTAGGGCCCTAGTGAACCCCCCTAGGAACGTGGGGTAGACCTGGACTCCAAGGAAAGGTGACCAGCATGATGGACGAACACTACCCCGGCATCATGGAAGAGGTCTTATTGGTGAACGCGCCCTGGGCCCTACATGCTCTGATGAAAGTGATTGCTCCACTGCTTCCACCGAGGATCGTTCGAAAGATCCAGTTTATCCCTATGGATCAAACGCCCACGCGGCTCAAAGAGAAGATTGGCCCGGAGCATTTACCCACCTTCCTGGGAGGAGAAGCGGACAACCAGAGCTTCGTGGCCGCGCGCGCTGCGCTCGCCGGCATGCCACAGCTCTTCTTGAAGGCCGGTGGCACCGAAGAACGCTCGTTGGTCCTAGAGGCCTCGGACCACGCGGCCTGCAGCGTGGCCGTGGAGGGTGGGTTAGAGACTTGGCACTCCGGTGGAATTGGCTTATGAATTGACACAACCTCCCGCAAACCTCAGATTGGGTGGGCAAAACGAAGTATATACACACTTTTTTCGGTGAGACGGTCCGATGCAGATGCCCATCAATGAGTCGGAAACTGCTCGACTCATCCCAGGATATCATGCTCGACTGCCGGTTTGAGGGGCAGGACGGCACCATCGAGGAAGTCTTCGCAGCGAATCGCATCAAGGACAAAGGCTTCAGCTTTATGGCCATTAAGGGAGGCGTGGACATGACAATTGCTGGACAGCGGTGGTTGAAACCTTGTGTGGGTGACGTGGTGAGTTTAATGACCTTTGGTAGGGTTCGGTTTCAGGTGTCCCTGTTCGGAGTTTTGAGACCTACTAAACGTTCATCTCCATTGGTAAGTGGCCTTTGGGAAGGTCAGCTGATCTTGCGATTTGACAACACCTACAGCTGGGTAAAGCCCAAAAGCATCCAATACGAACTGGCCAAGCTACCGGAAGAGGCAGCTCCTGAGACAGGCAAGGTGGATGAAGAGACAGAAGAGGCAGATGTGGCATAAAGCCCTGCATCCATGCCCGACCTCTCGTCGCCAAAAAACACTTTGGATGAAAGCGGGGCGGCCCACCGTACAGAGGGCTGGTGAGCATTGATTCTGCCAAGCAGGCCAACCGCAAGCTTATTGAGATCAACAATTGTTGATGATTCAAGCGATGGCAGGTGCAGCAGAAGTCAGTCAAAAGTGGCTGTAGGACAGCTTGCTGTAAGCGGGAGCTAGCAATAACAAAATCACATTGAATTCTATGTTGGTGCTTCTAGACATGCAGCACCCACCAACATGGACCTTCGTTCGCAACTTGTTGCGACCGTGATACCGTGGACACTCCTCTCCAGGCCGCGGGCGCCGCGGCGGACGCGGGCGCTGATGCCGGGCGCTTGGAAGAAGCCAATGGGAAGATCACTCAATGATGCGATTTCTTTGTGGCTGGGAGAAGGGGCCAAGACCAAATGCACAAGTTCTGAGGTCCTTCAACTCTTGTTCCATCACTTCGGTTCATTTAATCAATCAGTAAGACTCAAGTTCCGGCAGCCAACCAATGCTTCATTTGCTCAGCCTGTCCAAGAGTCTCGCTCTTATGGTTCTGCCAGGATGGCACTGATCCGGCGAAGTGCTTAGTCTGTGTGGGTTGAAGCGGAAACGAGATCTGTCGACGGGGTTTGGGGGCAACCAAGGCCACTGTGGTTTTGCAAGTCGACCTTCTCGAGCTTCGTGTAAATATAGATAGTGATAGCGCAGAAGTTGTCGCTGACAAGCTGGCAGACTCACTTGAGATCCCCAATTGAGGTCCTGACATGCTCCACCACTGGCATGAATCATGGGTGGTTTCAATCACGAGAATTCATCATTAATCATGGCTGGTGTCAACCCCGACCCAAAGCTTGTCATTTGTTCTCCTCCGTCGGTGAAGTCACGCAGAGTCTCTTGATGTCTCTTGTGTAATAGAAGTTGGCCCAGAAAGTTGCATCGGCACATCGGCTAAGCAAAACAGTCATGATGAGTTTTGCGATCCCAGCAGCTGGTTTACTGTTCCTGGTAGGGTTTCTCCGTGCACCACTCGCACGTTCTCGAGGCCAAGCTGGCCTGGAAGCGAAAGCACAAGGACAGGGGATGCAGCTGGACCGCTCCCCGCGACGCTTGCATGCCCGGGGTGGACCCCGTGAGGAGAGCGGCATTGTTTGGGCTTGTTCTTACGGCAACTCCCCTTTAGTATGTGTCATCTCCTGGTTTTTCAGGGAGCTTTCTTTTAAGTGCCTGCCACTTTCACGGATGAAAGCATTCCTTTAGGTGGCCGACCCCAGCCAAATCCAACCAAGAAACTCAAACATCGATGGGGCGTGGTTTGGCAATCCCTCATTGTGCTTCAGCACCAGCCAGGCGCGCTCAGTTTTCCAAAGGGCCCACTTCCATGATGGTTTCATGAAGGTGCAGAACGTTGTTGGGGCCTGAACATTTGGAGCAGATCACAGGATCTCGCTCACAAGTTGAACGACGCCATTCCCAAAAAGCCCGCGAGCAGCCGCAAGGGAAGCACAGTGGTTGATGGGAGGGTGGATAAGAGATTGACAACAGCACAAGAGTTGGATACAGAACATCCAGAACCCAGGCTGCAAAGATGGGATCCACCAGCATGATCGAGAACCTCGCCGAACCTGAGTCTTTTTCCATGGGGTATGAACGTACATTATATATATATGAACGTATGAATCCTGGAATCTTCCTAGAGCAGGGCATGACATGGCAGCAAACACAACAACACCCCTATTAGGATATCCTGTATGAACTGGGTAGGGTTAACCCTGTTAATAGCAACGGCCTCCAACCCAACAGCAATGGCCTCCAACCTAATAGTGATGGGCTCCAACCCAGTAGTGATGGCCTCCGAACTATATGGGGTAAGGGTTTACAACCATTGAAATCCTAATGGGGATGCAACATGATGCAACAACCGTTTTGAACCCTCTGCGACCGGGCGTCGGCAAGCGGTGCCGACGCCGAGCTGTGAGACTTGAGGCAAGACGCTGGGGCCGCTGCATGAGGAGTTCTGAGGAAAACAGATTTGTGGAGCCAGAGGATTTAGATCTCAGGATCGTGAAACCTATTTATATAAGCCTATATATTAATTAAACAATAAATAAATGCACACACACATATAAAATATATATGCACATGTAAAATTGTCTATTATATATATTATTTGGTGATGATGGTCGAAATTGGCCTGTCGACAGTATGCCATGTTTGGAAACGTGTCACGGATCGCAGTTTTGCATTGGTCGCGTGCATCACACCCGGTTGATCGGTCAATCTCAGTTCTTGGCTCGCGATCCGAAGGTTCTTGGCTCGAAGGTTCGGTCATTCTCCGAAGTGAAGCCCAGAGCATTCAAGCGTTTCAAGCGTGGGTGAGTTCAAAACAGGATCTCAGTGGCAGGTTACAGGCATAATAGATCATAAGAGACCCTACGATCTGTGAAAAAGCATAGCCAACCACCTCATTGTATTTCTTTTGTCGACATGGAGGACTCTTTTTGGGGCGGTCCCCTTTTGATGTGGGGTGCAGGACATCCTTTGCAGACATTGATTGATCCGAACTCGAGGAAGAGTCAGCTCATCAAAGAACATGCTATGGACACTATAGCGGTAGACCTTACTCGAACATCTCAGGAGATCACATTTAGGCCCGCCACCGGTCCACCGCACTGCACCGGTCGAAGCCTAAATCTTCTCTTCAGAGGCCCAAGCAGTCCGGGCGAAGCTGCAAAGCAACTGGGGTCATCCACTTCCAGAAGTCAGAGAGTGCACTCACAGTTTTGGTGTCCACAGAAGCCTTGAAGCCTCTTGAAGCAAGCCCCCCAAAGAGCGCCAGCCCTGGGAGAGTCAACCTGGCCCAGATCGAAGTTACGGTTCCCTTTCCGATTCACCGGTGCTTTTGCGAGGCGTGGAGGATGCTGAAGCTCTCGAGGATCCTGGCGAGCGCGAAGCCGGGGTGGCCAAGCACGATTGGGACTGTCTCGGGTGGCTCCAGCGACCTTCACGGTGAAATAACTCAACCAGGCCAGGCTGATGTAGGGCATAGAGCTCCCTGGAATCATTCTGGAGGAGGAAAACCACTAGTCACCAGCGTCACTACCTGTTTGGATCTGTTTGGTATCTGGAACATGGTATATATAACCCTTTCGGGGCCATACCATCCACCTCCATGAGAATTGAATTCCAGTGAGTGTTTTTTTACTGGGCCACTCATCTCATGAACCCCGATATAGCACAAAACGTATGTCAATGGTTTGGGCCGTTTGGGCCCGTTTCGGAGTGGGTGATGACTCTGATAAACCATGTGAACCATGTGAACCCTTCTGCAAGAGATTCTATTTGGATCCAGGATTATCACCTCCCCAGCTACTCCGTGCCTAGCACCAGGATACCGACCGAGCGGACCTGGGAGCTCGTAGGACTGGTGGAGTCGGGCTCCAGGTCGAACCGATGAAGCCGATGAAGCCGATCTTCCAAGAAACCTGTGAGGTTCCTTTGTCTCCACCAGCTCTGCCACGGTTTTTTCCCCAGATCGGCCCGGATCGGCCGTGAGGCCCGACGGCTTCACTGGCTGCTCCAAACGTCGCAGCCATCGGATGCTCGAGAGGCGGGCTCTTGGGATCTCGAAGACTAAAGACCTCAAGTCCTGGCCGGCCATGTCATAGACCTACCCACAGTGGAGAAGCTTTAACCTTTTTGGGGATTGGTTTCCAAGGGAAACTGCGGGAGCCTGTATCCAGGGCGGAGACCGTTTGGAAGGTGGTGGATGTGGTGCTCCTTCCATAGGCTTCCCAACTCGGCCGCCCCCCCCACAAGGTTGCATGCAAGTTCTCGCACAGGAGAACACGAGAACGTGAGCGCCTGCGAGCACGCCGCAGGTTCCAACAATTAGAGATCCCACACACCTTCCCCAAGATGCCGTGGATCATGGCCAAGCGGATTGTGGTGCAGTCCTCGTTCAGAACTGGGATGGATGGATGAGGTTTTTCGCGGAGAAGAAATCTGAAAGAAAGCCTTGACGCTGGCCTCAAGCATTTGACCTTGAAGCATTTCGTTGACGGTCCATACATTGTGCCACGGCTTATGGTGGCTCAAACTTGCGTGTGACTGTCGAGCTTGCAACCGACATCGGAATGTGCATGAACTCACCAAAGATTCAAAGGGATGTTGAGAAACTGCTACAGCAAAGTGGGAAGCCTACTTATGAAGGACCTGACTTAAATATGATCGACAACGAGAAGGATTAATTCAAGAGAGAACCAGGTAGGCCTTGACATTGGAGAGGGGCCCAGAATGTTTCAATTTCCAGGCTTCACCTTGACCAAGTAGGGAGCGGCACACTCCAGTCCGTTTTTCTCAGAGATAGATTAGAGCCCCTCCCCCAAAGATGGACACATATGTTTGCTGCTGAAGCTGTGTTCCCTCTCCTAAACCAACGAAAGCAGACCGCCAAGCAGACCAGACCGAAGCAGCGGAAGGCGCGGAAGGCGCTCACGGAACCGAGCCCATGAGTGATGCAGCGGACTCGTGCCACCCATTTGCAGCTGGAAGATGGCGAGCAGAGGTTCCGCGATGCGGAGATGAGGGCGTTTGGTGGAGGGTGAAGATGTTCGGGAAAAACCGTGCAATTCCAAAGCAAGCAACAGTTCCTTGATGTTCCGCGTGCTTAGAAGTGGCAGGAGCTGTGTTTGACTCCACATGTCCAAGTTTAGCAGCCCCACTCATAGTGGAGAGGTCAGACTTTGATGATGAGCTGTCGGGTCCCAGCTGAATGGCTTTATGCACCCATCTACGCACTAGAACCATTGCACCAAAGTTACCCCAGAAACTGGATCCAAAAGGAACATGGACCAAGCTTCATTGGTCACATTGCAGACCTCGATGTTTTCAGACAAACCCCTGGTCTTGTTTAAAGTATTCTTTGAACACCTCTCCCTTTCTCTGGCATTTTGGAAGTCCAGCCCTGGGCCGGAATGACCCTTGCCCAACCAACCCTTCACCCTGTGGAATCAGAGCTCCGAAAGGCACGTCGCATCACCAAGGCCCAGCGCCCAGTTCTGGTGGCGCTGGCGCCGCTGGCTCGACGCGCTCGCGTCACCTTTGTCTCTTCCAGGCGCATTGAGGTTGGTGCCGCCAGGGTTTTCACCGGTGAAGCATGGTGAAGGCACCGTTCTTGATTGCCTCACGGTGCCAGTAGAGGGTCGGAAACCCGAGCAAGTGCACATTGCCTCCGCGAGTAAGAAGGACAACTCAAGTCGCAACACCCACCGGTTGGCAGTCTCCCTATTCCAATGACCCACCCTTATGGTCACTCATCAAACGCACCATGAGGTGAGGATCATGTGCTGAGATTGCAGCTTGAGCACGGCCAACAGGTCTTGCAAGTTGCTCTTTCTAGAGGTTGCATGAGGTTTCTGCTTCTCTGTGCCCCACAGAAGCCACTGTAAAAGAAAAGCACCACACTGGGTTCTTCCTCCACCCAGTGCCAGTAACAGTCCAGCACGGTCACATCACCGGTTTTCCCCGGTCGTCTTGAAACGAGTCTTGAGGCCACCCGCCTGAGGGACCAGCAGAAGAAGCGGTGCGTCGCGTTTTCCAAGGAGGGGCGTTGAGTTACGTGATGTTGCATTGCGGCAAGTCTTACAAAACCAAGATGTCAAAGTCAAGAGTAACATTTAAGGTTTCTGCATATTTGTGTTTTCCATTGGCCGTTGGCCTAGGCCCAGGCCAACGATCCAGAATCGGTTTCAAGACACGTTTTCGACTTTCTACAGTCCTATGCTGCATGGCATCCATCATGGGCCAGTGGAGTCCTCCGATAATCCATGCGTGGCCCGCCACCAGCCCATCTTCTCGACTCGAAGGGCTTACAGATACTTTAATGTAGATTCCTGATTGATTATACAATACATACCCCTTTGAATTGAAACACCTCTTCTATCTCCCTCGTTTCGATGTCCGCCACTGAAGCCCCTATTGGGCGGTCATGAAACGCCACCGTGGACACACTGGGTCCAACAGCAGCAAAAGAAAGCACGTGAGGCGACTGACAACCAAAAGAGAATCCATCAAAGGGGAAACTCCCAAGTAGCAAGGTGTTTTGAACAGCCTTGGTTGCACAGAGAGGCAAATTCATGGAGCTCATCCAGTGCAAATCGAGGGATTGCACCAACAATGGCCCCTTGTGGTAGGGCCTTCCCTTCAGTCTTGAGTCGAACATTGTCAGTGAAGCCCGGGAAGATTCCGTCCGTGATTCGGCAACTTATTGATGAACACAAGGGTTCGGCGAAGCCAAAACGTCAAGTCTCGAAACGTCTTGTCACTGGCAGAGCATGCACGGAGGATGAAACCTCTTTCCAAAATAAAAAGGCAAATTCGACATACGCCGTACAAAGATCATCTGACACACGCCATTGTAGCGAAGTTGTGAAGTCAAAGAAGGTTTTCAAGTCAATCGGGTCAAGCTTGGAAAGCCACCCTTGTGGGTGGTCAATCCGGGATGACGACTGGGGATCGACCACGAGTCCGTTCACCTATGCCCCAAGTGGCCCCACTTGAAATTAACGTGTTGACACAAAAGTCATTAATGACGGACCATTTGGTCTCTTGGGATTGGGCACCCTCATATTGGTAAGCGAAGGTGGAGTTCCACAAAGAGTTTGCATTACAATTGACTTGGTGGGACTCGGAGGTACCTGGCTTACCTAAGCAAGACGTGTCAATGGGTGCGAATTTGCGATGGACAAAACCATGGAGCCTAATTGAGGTACAGGAAAAGACTGGACGAATGGGACGATGCTGGATGCCATACATGCTGATGACTTCAATACTACGCAAAGCAGTATGTGCAATATGGTTGATGAGGATTCCATCAATTGAGGAACAAAAATCCCCAGATCCACTAAATGTGCCGTCTTTCGAATATGTGAAAGGGCGATGGGTATCACCATTCGTGTCACTTTGCGACAAAGGGTCAAACCACCCTTGGAAGTTGACCGCGTTGGAAATGGAAGGATTATGCAATGGGTTTGATTGAAAATCCCCTGCCAACAAGATTGGAATGTCGCCAAACTGGGCCGCGATCGAAAAGACGTCGGCGAAAACACTGTCATTGTAATCAAAGATTTGTTGGTTGGCTGAAGCAGCTGTTTTGGCGTAAATGGAGAATACGAGAGCTTTTAATGAAGGTGTGACCTGAACCCAACATGCATTTGCGCGATCGGTGTCAAAAAGATTCTGATACAAACCAGAGCAGTCTTCATGTGAACAAAAGGGGGAAGAAAGCTCTGGAGGTGCCAAAATGGCGGTGCCTCCGTTCATAGTTGTGTGAAAACCATCTGACCGAATGGTACCCTTCAAAGGGGCACACATGTGCAAGGCTTTCCCAGTCTCAGAAACAAGCTTCTGGGAATGACGAATATTGTTGCAACCAATACGCGTTTCTTGAACACACTGAACAGTATCAAGGGAGTGTTTCCAGGAGACGTTCGACTTAAGACTGCCAATGTTAGCTGTAGAAATGGTCCATTCCGTAGGGATGTCAGGACCCTCACCCGGGAAACCAAGAAGGTGATCAAACTCCAAACGGGTACATCATAATTATAGAAGTATCATACTTGCAGTAATGAATTCTCACAGGGCGACCTGTTTGCCTTTAGCTCGGCTGAACCCGCAAAACATGGCCATAGAGAGAGAGAGAGAGGGTGGTCATTCATGTAGATGGTCTCTGAATGTGCCACTAAAGAAAGGGACGTGTGTTAATTGCGACGGAAACCAGTGTAATTCCAAACAGTAGTGTTATTCCTACTTGTCTATATAGTGTGTTTTTGCGCTTGTCCAAACTTGAGGTGTCTTTTGCGTCGATTCTATCCTCGAATCCCTTTGTTGCCGGTGTGTTTTTTGCGCCGATCCTAGCTGCAGGGTGTTTCTTTTTCGCCGGTGTGTTTTTTGCGCCGGTCCTAGCTCCAAGGTGTTTTTTGCGCCCGTCCTAGCTTGAAGTTTTTTTTTGCGCCGGTCCTAGCTTCAAGGTGTTTTTTGCACCGATCCTAGCTTCAAGGTGTTTTTTGCGCCGGTCCTATAGTTTCGAGGTCTTTTTTGCGCCGGTCTTATTTTCGAGGTCCTTTGTGCGCCGGTCTTATAGTGTTGTTTTTTCTCTGCGTCGACTTTTTTGTGCATAAAGGCGTTGTTTGTTTCACGTGCAATCGAAGCGAGCCCACATGCACATTGGAAAATCTATTTAGTTCACATTAGAGAGGCGCGGTCCAGGTCCAGACCTCCGACAGCAGATTTTTCTCAGTCAATTCTTTGTGTATGTGGCTGGGGCGAGCGGCAGCGAGCTGAAGCCATATATGCAAAGAGTTGACGCAGGCCTTTGCGCGCAACCAAAAGCAAATGGGAAGAAGCTGGAATTACACAGCCACATGTTTGCAACACACACCGCGTCGCTGAAACACACACCTTTGCAAAAAACACACCGTCGCAAAAAACACACCGTCGCACCAAACACTCCGTGTTTCCCACTCCTTGGTGGCTTGTCCAACCAAAACAAACGAAAACACCGTGGCAACAAAAAAACCGTTGCAAAAAACATGCCGTCGCAAAAAACACTCCTTGATCTTTCGATCGCACAACGAACTCCACGACATTTTGAAAAACATTTAGGCCTACCGTCGCAAAAAACACCGCCGCCGCAATTTACACGCAGCCCGAGCTAAAGAAACCACAAAAGATGGAGATCAATTGATCTTCCAGCTCGGGGGGGTGGTTCAGAAGTTTCATGAATCCACCGTCCGGCCTGAACACCAGCGCCGCACCCTTCAGACCCGCTTTGCATCGTTTTGGCCAGGATTGGCACAAGAGGCCGTCGAGAAGCGCGAACAGCGACGGGCCATGGGCATTCAGGCCGGGCCGTGAGATTCGGAGGTCGACTTGGGCCAGGGAGTGTT